TAATAATTAAAAAATATATATATATATAATTAAAAAAAAATTTCAAGTCACGGCAAACCTGAGGCACATGCCTCAATCGGTGAGGTGCCTGCCTCAATAAAATAGCACTAAGATTTGCTCCTTTAGGCACTGAAGGTGTGCCTCAGTCGCACTTTTGTAAACCATGCCACGAAAGAAAATTTAATGATCTATTATTTGATACCTGTTCTAACTTTGTAGTATAACTATTTCTGATTACTGAAAAATCCTGAAGAACTTCGGGTTTGTCCACCTGCAAAAAATTGCCATTTGATAACGCTGCTTGATCTCTCCCCATGGCCTATGAATAAATACCAAGAAATATTAACAAACAGAGATTTACTAACATTTTACAGTTCCAGGTACAAAACATTGAAGCAAGATTTGTTTCAACGAAGAGAGATTATAACATACTTGATTCAGTTCAGTCCGAATTTCTTCAACAGCATATCTAAGTTCTTTTCGCATTGCTTCATACAACCCACTGTTCAAAGCATTCTCTGTATGGAGCTCAGCCTGAGGTACAAGAAATAAGTATAGAAAGAGAGGTGAAAATGAAATGGAGCTAGACTTTCATCTACAGCCTAATAGAAGTACAAAAGAATCAACCTTCTCTGTATAAACTGCCTGGATTGTCTTCTCAAATCTATTTCTACCAATACGCACAGTCTTCGATTCATCATCAGTTAGGGCAGAGGAGTGGCTCTGTGAAGTCAATATACAAATATTACACTTCAGCTCCTTTGTAGAAAGAATTATATCAAAGCTCTATTTAATGTGACAAAAATAACGAGGACATAAATTGACATTGACATGATCTGATGGCCAGCTTTTGGTTATAGTTCCAAGTGTGCCTTAGGTAAATGTTACCAATATGAGCATATATGCAAAGAAAGAAGACGAAGGCCACCATATTAAAGACGAAACAGTCTTACAGAGTAGCCATCGTGTAACAGCGACTGATCTTTTTTGTTAAGCGGTATTTCCGGTTGTTGATTGTTTAAAGCTGTTGGCTTCCGTGATGAAGGAATTTGACTCCTCCCCCTAATAGGACCCTTCACAATAGCACGATTGCATGGATTCTGAGAATGATCTACCTCACTCTGCCAAATATATGTCGATGTCAATTTATGTTCTCCTGTTGGATTAAAGAAACTGCATTTATAGTTTCATAATACAGTCTTGAAGAATCTTTCAGATGCATAATTTAATAACTACATGCTTTATAAGCTTGTAGCAAATATTTAAGATTCTGAAGTTGTTTCAAGCTACAGTCGTAAAAAAATTTAAATCTTGAAAATCCCATACCCATATACATACAAGGATGCCTGATAATTGTGATAATTCTCAAACGCAGAAGTTATGTCTTAATATATTTTGGAATAGTAAGTTTTTGGAGAATGTGTGATTAAAATTTAAAAAAAGTTTTGGGTTTATATGTAATATTATTTTATTGAACAATGTGCGGTTGAAAAGAAGAAGGAGAAAAATGTATTAAAATTAAAATGAAGCCCAAACGGGGGCTTAGAAAGGATAAAAAAATTATTCTGAACTTTTAACGTCCCACATAGCCCAAACAAGGAGATGAACTGTCCAGGCATAAAAATTTGGTAGAATTTCCTTCACTGGTAAATATTCAATATTTCCCCTAGACCAAATATTATGCAGGTACGATGAGTATACATTCCATCTCAAGATAGTGAGGGATTGCTGGTGCAACTGTATTGATCTTGATTAACATTGTGACACTTTATCGAGAATTGCATCATGTATGGACTTCCATTGAGGTGGTGCGTAAAACCAGCAGTCAACTAGTACTAACCATGTTGTATATGTTCCAAAGCAGGTAGATTGCAAGCTCATGTTCATGAAAATAATAAATCACTCGTATGCAATTGTGCATGCATAAATCAGGTAGCATGTCATACTCTTTTAGCAACTTTTCATACTAGAGAATAAAACGAGAAGAAGATCATTGTTCCAGATTTTAATCAGAAACAATCTTCCACTTCAAAGAAGATAACAAAAAAATATAGGTGAATGACACATGACGTCCTCGTCAATGTCACATATGATCAATATATAAACTGTTTAGAGTGGTTCTTTAACCATCGTCTTGAACAATACTGCTCAATATTCAATTAACACCAAGATTATGCGTGATAGAAAACAAATACAATGCATATTCAATCAAGACATTCACTTGCTATTAGTAAACCTAAATAAATCAAAACTACTTGCGCATAATTCTTACATTTGGAATGCCCTCAATTACTTTCATTGGAAAAATTTTGAATTTTCAAAATCTCAAAATATCTGGACAATTTCCGCAAAATTCACTCTTGTAACAGCTCTTAGATTAACAATCTCGGCATTATTTCTCACAACAATTAGCATTTTTTTCATTCAACAATACAGAGTCTATTCAAATTGAAGCAACAACACAAGTAACAATCTGCTGAAAATTCAAGATTCGATAAGAAATGAATTAATCAAAGTTACCTCAGAGTCACTAATATGATACCGAGCCACAGAGAGGGACCTCCTGCGCCGTGAACCGGCCTCAGCAGTAGTAACACTTTTATCCCCACCACCAGAGCCACTAGAAACAATATAACTTTTACTGTCACCTCCACCATTCCTTGACACTGACCTCCCCCTTCTCCTAGACGATGCCGTATCACTAGCCCACCGTCCAATCTTCGAGCCACCTCCCTCACCCTTACCCCTACGATGCGAAACCGATCGGTCCTCCCTCTCCCCCGTCCCTCCATCGCTCTCATTCTCGTTTCTCAACGAGAAAAACTCAATCGCGAGATCATCAAGGCTGATCTCCGTACACTCCCCCAATCCTCTGACCGTACTGACAAACTTCCCCTTCGGCTTAGAAACCACCTCCGGTCGGGAGAACCGGCTGAGACTTCTGGACCGGTTGTGAGACCGGCCAGTGGTACTTGGATCTTCGGAGCTGGAGCCGCCAATTGTGGTCCTCTTCGACGTCGATTTGAAAGCCGATGTCGCCATTTTTATCATATGATTGCTTAATTATTCAAAATCTGTGACCTCTGCATATATTGAATTAGGGTTTTGGATATTGATTGTGATTTTTGAGGCAAACCAGTTTAATGGAAGATTGTAACGGAGAAGGTTTGGCGGAGGGATCGAAAATTGCGGAAATATTTGAAATTGACAAGTAGGACCGGGCGGCCGAGAGAGAGAGATAGAGAGGCGGGACGGTAAAAGCAAAAAATTTTGACAAACCGATGGAATTTCCCATTTAATCGAAATTCGGGTCAGGTATGAGGTGGGTACGGATAACAAGCGCCCTGGCCCTGGCCTTGCTCCGCTCCGTTCCGTTCCGCTCGGTTTATTTTATTTTATATTTAAAATTCAACACTTTAAATAAAAAATTCTACAAAATTTCATTAATTTTAATAGAAAATTACAACTAAAAAATATGATAAATAATAAAAGTTTTAGTTTATCAAATATATTTGAATAATTTAAATTTTACAAATAAATTTTAAAAAATATTATTTTATTACACTTTACTGAATTGAGGCAATAAAATGAATTATAAAAAACTAAAAAAAAAATGGTAGTAAACGGGGCAACGACCCTCCTTAAACGGGTAACGGGGCGGGTACGGGTAGGGGCATTGCCCCCACCCCACCCCACCCCATCCCATCCCATCCCTACGTGAACATGATCTCATTCTTAATTTTGTTTTTTTTTTTTTTTTTTTTATTTTTTAAAAGTTAANAAAATAATTTAATTAATTCAATATAAAAAATAAAAAAATTATTTAGTTTCGGTTCTTATTCGGTTCTTCGGTTCTTGGTCTAGACCCGAGACCCGACCCAAACCCATCGGTTCTCGATTCGGGTACCCGTTCGGGTATTTAATTTTTGAAGAACCGCTCGGTTCGGTTCGGTTCGGTTCGGGTTCGGTTCGGTCCGGTTCGGTTCGGGACTTTTGGACACCCCTAGACAAACTGATCGAATTCCCCATTTAATCGAGTATTCGGGTCAGCTACAAGGTGGGTACGGATAACAAGCGCCCCGGCCCCGCCCTGCTCCGCTCCGTTCCGTTCTGCTTGGTTTATTTTATTTTATATTTAAAATTCAATACTTTAAATAAAAAATTCTACAAAATTTCATTAATTTTAATAGAAAATTACAACTAAAATTATTTAAAAAATATGATAAATAATAAAAGTTTTAGTTTACCAAAAAAGGTTGGTTTAGTTTTAAAAAGGTTTTCAGAAAGTATAACTTAAGTCTCTGTTTGAGCTATATTATTTTTTTCATTATCATTCTTTGACTCATTTTCAACCACACATTTTTCAATAAAATAATATTTTTCATCAGATCAATACAGACTCTTTTATTTTGCCGCCATAATTCAGTACCTCTGAAATAGTTGTAGAAAATCAAGGATTCTCTACAATATGTAGGTCCTTACAGCAACAAAATTGTTTGTTGCCACTTCTTTTACCATTAACTTAAAAACTCCAAATCCCTTATTTTGGTACATATTGCAACAACTACTTTTTCAACTATGAAATACACGATGTAAACGATATATTCATTCCGATTCACAATTCAGAGGTAGTGTTAAAAAACATAGTAAAATTGGGAGATTTATTTGTTAAATTGAGATAGAACATGAAAATTACAAGCTAGCTAATTGTTGAAGACATAGTCATTCGCTATTATATTACATAATATTAAATAAAATAGTAATATTATTTAACACCATTAGTGTTTAACATCAGTTTAGGTGACGGTACTCGTGACATTAAATTATATGTTCAATTAAAATAAAGATCTATGACTCTTTTGTGATGTGATCACATTGAGATTGATGTTCAATATCACTAGTGATATATGTCATTATTCTAAACAAAATGTAACTGGTTCAATCTTGTCTCAATGTGTCTCCCATAAATTCCTAATGAAATAGGGAATGGTGGATGGGGGAGGACCACCATGTGGTCACCCCGAGGCAACTCCATATTCAGTAACTTCAGTTTATAGTTTGTATGGGAGAGAATTTTTCAAACAAAAAATATTTTTTTGAAAAACATGTTAAAAGTAAGGAAATTTATTAATTCAATAGAATATGTGGTTAAAAATGCCTTTAGGGAAAATGATTTTTAAAAAATCTCTCGTGAACAACCTTAGGGAAAATGCTTCTATTCAACCTTTTTACACATAGGTTTGTTGAGTTCGCATTAGTAATGTTTTTCTTGAGGTCGACCTTCGATTTTAAGACGAAATAATGATTTAATTATAATTTTTTTAAAAAAAATCTCTGTTTGAGCCTCATTTTTTAAGTTTACTTTTCTACAAACTCATTTTTAATCAAGTATTTTTTTTCAATAAACTAATTTTGTACACATATATATAAAAAAAATTCTTACTTTTTAATCACATATTTTTTTTAAAAAAAAAATCACTTTCTATAATATTTATTATAAAAAATATGCTCAATCAGGAGCTCAATGTAGATTGAGTGAACACATAAGTAGGGTTAGGAGTGGGCTGAGTTGGTTTTTAATCCAACTCAAACACAACCAAACATGATCGGTTTAATCAAAAATCAAACCAACTCAATTCAATTATTAGTTTAAACTCAATCCAATCCAAACCGATCAAGCTTGGGTTGGTTTTGGGATGAATCGGTCGGTTTGGTTGAATTTGAACAATACCACTTAAAAATCTATGTTATTGTTAACCTATATAAGGAATTCTTTCTACAAATTAATGTATAAATAAGTTTGAAACTATTGAGCATTTTCTTTTATAATTTTTTGGGATTTATCCATTTCATTATCACGTCCTTAATTTTTAATTTATTGTCAAAATATTTTGTATTTGTACACAGTATTCATACAAATCAGCTTATGTAAAAAATGGGAGGGGGGGGGGGGGGGGGGGGGGGGGGGGGGGGGGGGGGGGGGGGGGGGGGGGGGGGGGGGGGGGGGGGGGGG